GATCTAATGTAAATCGAACATTTCGATAGAGATCATCATTTAATATATTTTAAATATTTAAATGTTAATTATAATAATATTTTAATATTTAATAGGAACTTTTGTGATTAGACTGACAAATTTAAACAAATATAGTTTTCACGGTTGATTGTCAGTGTGCCTCTAATCGTCTAATAATTTATGTTTATGGCAAACTGAGTTTTCCCGCATGTTTTGTTCCTCAGACCATGGATACCTACGTCACTATCCATCAAAGGACCATTATTCAGAGAAAAACAGGAATTTTTCCATTTAAAATGTGTTGTTTAAGAACTGATTTAATCAGAAGCATGTTTTGCAAGACAGCATAATTCATAAATAATTACATTATAAAATTTGAAATAGGTTAATTTATAAACTAGCATTCCGACATTTCGGAAATCCTAGTTGTTTTAAATTTTAAGTTGAAGCAATTAATGATCGTTCTGACGTAAATATGCGTACTTCCGGTCTACGAAACATCTGTGTAACAGTTTCATCACTGAGAAAACAAAACAAATTTCAAATCGCCGTGAAAACTTGAAGGTTCCTGTTCAATTACTGGCTGACGTCCTGTGGTGCCTGTGCTTTGTATGCCATCTGTTGAGCATCAACTGGCGCGCTCTTGTCAAAACTTCGCCTGTAGTAGCCAGAAGATGAACCGCTTCCGGAAGTACTCCAGCCACCAGTACCGGCACCGCTCCATCCACTTCCGCCGGTGTTCCATCCGGAGCTACCACCAGTTGACCAGCCATTCTTTCCACCTCCCAAAGCCCCCAATCCCCCGCCGCCGAGAAGTTTTTGCAGAGCCAAGAAGCCAGCTATTAAGAGGGCCAGTTTGCTCACAACCAGAGCTTTGACGGCCAGGAAGCCGACGATGGCAATTCCAATTGGAATTACGAGTAACAGTTTGGCGCCAATACCCATCAAAATGGGTAGGAGAGTCTTCATCATTTTCTTTTTCCCACGAGCTAAAGAAAAATTAAAACAATCAGATTACATGATAAATCCATAAGCATTTTTCAGGTGGACAAATCATTTTCATTGCTGATATTCAACTAGTAACATTATAAAACTCGCTGTAAATCAGTGATGAATAAGGTACAACACAGTGCTATTTCCATGGACCTGTAGACCGAAAGGAGGTCATAGATAGTTATTTCCTCTTGAAGATGGAAGGGGTAAGGATCTCCGAAACATCAGTTATACAGTGTAATTCTAAATTGTGCTATAACCAAGAAAAAGAACATTAAAGTGACAAATGTTTCATGAATGATGTACAGGATAGAATTATAACAAAATATTGACCGGAATTTTGCAGAAGACTTCGAAGAAAATCAAATTAGCTTTCAGTGAATCAGCTGATAATCCGACCGAGGTTCGATCCGAATAACATCCGAATACGTTTTTCCTTTTCTTCCAAAAATAAAGACCTAGAGAATGGTGTATGTAAGTTCTTGGTCTGAAACATTTAAAGGGTGACGGCTCGTACTTGAAAATATAAATAATTATAAGAAGGATGCTGTTACACGTCATTTTTAATTAATACAAATTATAAATTATAAATTAATTGATGAGCTGTGTATAAATCTGTCGGTATGTCTCATCCCAAACAAACCGACGGATTTTTTACTCGGCTCATTTTAGGAGGATAATTTCACTTCGGTCCA